AAGGACTTTGCAAACATATCCCCCCATGGAGGGATAACTGCCTTATTCTAGAGATAGGAGAGAAGCCCTAGTCCCTACTTCACAGGACCTGTCAGATCTACATGACCCCAACTGGATGGCATTCCCCTACATATTGTATTGTGGTGGGGGGTTGGGAGGGGAGGGTGTTTAGAGTGCATGGGAGAGGGTAGAGAGGGCAAAAGGGAGGGAAGGAGGGAGGGGAGGGCTTGGGGGGAGGGAGGGAGGGAGGGAGAGGGAACTGGGATCGACATGTAAAATAATAAAAAAAAAAAAAAAAAAAAAAAAAAAAAAACGCTTTGACTCCAAAATTTAAGTTGAAGAACAAGTTACTGGGGAAAAGTATTTCTATTTTTGTTTCCACAGAAAATGAAAAGATGTGGATTCCTTCCAGACTAATGTGGTTTGATCACACCAGACCACCTGAAACAGAGTACAAGCTGATCCTACATTCCAAACAGCTGGACAAAACAGCCCTACAGACTACAGCTAGGATATCTGAATCTTCTTCGAATCCCCCAAGACAGCGCCCCTTACCAGCAGGAAGTAGTTTGGAAAGAACGACGCCCAAATTCCCAAATATTGTGTATAAATGTTTGTTTTCATTTAATTGGACTTTGTTATATAAAAGTAAATAAAAAATACTCTATATGCAAAAAATAAATAAATAAATAAATAAAGAAAAAAAAAAAAAAAAAAAAAAAAAAAAAAAAAAAAAACTCTGAGGATGAGGGAACCTGAGGGCCTTAGATTACTGACTTGGAAATGTACTTTGAGTATCATTAGCCTTTTGAAATGTCAGATAAGCAGAATGGCATGGGATTCCTGCCCTGCTAGGAAAGAGTTTTAGGGTACTTTGCCCCCTTCCTTTCCATATCTCAGTCGAGGACAAACTTCAACGTCAGCTCTGCCATGTGGAAGCTAAAGTTCAGCCCTCTCGGTCCTCGCTCTATGACACTTCTAGTCAGTGAACTCTGGGACACGCCATCCCAGCTGCCTTTTTAGGGTCCATCATTGCTAAGTGGACACGAGTTGTTTGGTCTGCCTCTGTTTGCCCTTGGCCCATTCTGCCTGACTTAGTGAAGCCGTCAGGCAGCCTAACATGCTTCCTATATATGTGTTCCGCATCTCCACAGCTGCAAGCCGTTACAGGCATTATGTGCAGACTTGTCCTCCTCCTCTTCTCCTTCCTGTTTCTCTTCTTCCGTCTTCCTCCTTGCTCTTCTGTGCTGGGACTCAAACCCAGAGCCTTGCACATGCCCAGTGAGCTCTTCCCATTGGACTTCCTCCCAGCCCACCTCTCATCTCTACTCTCACCTAAACTTCTTGAGGGAAGCATTACTTTGTGTACATTCTACAATCAGAACAACAACAACAACAACAAAAATCTGAAACAGGGACTCCAGAAGCTTAAGAAGACTCTCCTAGATTCTGAGGCCAGAATATTATAAAAAAATTTCAGTTTTCCTTTATGACTTATTAGATTCAATGTTGCATCGAATCTTGAGCTAGCCTCTGTTGTAATTTTGCTGTTGTCGTTGCAATGCTGGAAGTGAATAAAATTTTAAAATAACACTTGATGCCATGTCGGACTCTTAAAGGACAATAGGGATATCACTAGATGCTACAAAATATCCCTAAAGTTATTTCAGAAATGTGTGTCCTTCCTCCCCACAGTCATAGCCTCACCCAAGGAATAGGACCTCAGGAGGTGACATGTCCTAACTGAGCTTTTACTTTCTCATTCAAGCAAATTGCAACTTCTGGCCAGCTGATTTCAAGAACCAAATGAAGACATCATCCTGGGGGCTCTGACTCCTATCCGTCACTGTTGGTTTGGATGTTTGAAGGTCTGGTTGACCCTCACACCTCGCATATATGAAGTGGCAGCTTGGAAGAGTTACAAATTAGGAAGTTCTGTATAAACAGGTCTGCCTCCCCACCCCCAGGCCCACTGAAAAGCTGGTTTCTATTAGTGAAATAATTCCAGCCCCAAGCCTAAGAGGTAACATAGCTGTCCCCAAGCTGTGTTACAGGATTCTGGAATGTTGGTGTCTGAGATTCCAGAACTATGGTGTACTGAATGTGTGGTTCCTTTGTCCCTAAGAAAAGGGAGAGAAGGTGTGTGAAGCCCTCCAGAGCATCTTTGTGGGAGAGTATGTCAGAGTCAAGGCTATTGTTCAGCCACGACACATCTCAAGGACCTTGCCTGTGAGTGACCTAAAATACTAAAGGTTTGTACATTTTGGGCATTGCTGAATTCCCAAATTGAAAGGGATTTTCTGGAACATGATTGTATTCTAAAGCATATGGCTGTGACGCTATAAAGAAGCCTTGTCTAACACACCAGAGACAGAGGTTCATCAAGAGATTGTGTGGGAGCTACAGACACAGTTCAGTGGGAAAATCGCTTGCTTTTTCAGATACACAGCAGACCGTACATGCCAGGTGGACATGGAGACGTGCCTGTAATCCCAGTCTTGGGAGACCGAAAGGATTTCCAGTCAAGCAAGCTGAGTTGCTGAACTAGCCCAGGGAGCTCTGGGTTCAAGTGTGAGATACTGCCTCAATATATAATGTGGAGGACATCCAAGGAAAACACTCAACATCAGTTTGTGGCTTCTACGTGTATGTACACACACACACCTACAAACACACTCAACAGGGACACACACAGATTGTAAGGACTCAGGCATTCTGCTGACCTGCCCCGTCAGCTGGCAGAATGCACTCAGGCAGCGCCCTGGTCAGCTGCATAGTGCGTGCAAAGGACCCTTTAAAAGACAGACCCCACCCACTTACGCTTTCTTTCTCCTCTCTTTCTCGCTATTCCCGTGGGGAAGACAGAACTTTTCCTGCCTCCCTCCTCTCTCCTGTCCTCTCTCTGTCTCTGTGTCTCTTTATCTCTTTTCTCTTTCCTTCACCCCCATCCCTGTCTAATAAAACTTCTCACAAAGCTCTGTCTGGCATGTTTGTCTCCTGCCTCGGTCACCCTTGCCCGCCACGGGATCCGCCAAGGTCTTCCATGCAGTTTATTCCTAACACATATCACATGCACAAAATACTTTATTATTATTATTGTTATTATTATTATTATTATTATTATTATTATATTTGTTTTTATTTTTTAGGAGACAGAAAGATGGCACAGCCTGTTATAAAGTTAGGGACCTGGGCTCTGGGCTTTTCACAATGTCAGTACATCATCTTTTCGAGTCTCCAATGACCCTGAGAGAAGTAAGAGTCACGAAGTCACTGATGGCTCAGTCATACCCACTTGTGGTGTCCACTCTGACTCTGCATGACTTTGAGTTAGATCTGTGGAAAGGTGGTGTGAACAGTCAGTGACAGGATTCCTGTTCAGCCAAAGTCTTCCTCTGGGATCTGCCCCCTGGCCAGATTCTCCAAAAGCACCAGTTCATATCTGGGTCAAACTGGGTCATAACCAAGGCTATCCCTAATGCAACCCCTATAGCTAGCTATTTCAGTGCCTGGCCCCATTGAAGGCAGGGTAGAATGTTTGGTGCAAACATTCATCTAGGGTGGCCACAGAACAATAGCACCCATATTACCTGACATTGATAAAACGCAGATGTCCAGGCTCCAGCTCCTGTTTGTTGAATCAAAATTGTGGCCCCGGTCCAGACAACTGTGTTGTAACATTCCCTCTGGGGGACTGTGTTCTACTAAAGTTTGGAAACCACAGCTTTGCTTGGCGCTTCTTACTCTCTGGAGAGAGTGGTGTCAGCAGGTGTTCAGTCAGTAGTTTGCTGACCAACATGCCTTGGCAACTGGTCCAGCCTGAAGGGTTAAGGCCCCTTAGGAAGAGATGACCTCTGAGGTCCATGCTTCTAAGCCCTGAATGAGAATCTGCCCTGGGAAGACCCTATGTTATTAGCATGCTAGCCAAGCCACACAGAATCAAGCAGAAAGAGGTGCTGGTACCTGACTTGGATATTGGACACCTGACCAGGTGCATTGCAAAGTAAGCCTTGATCTGCATTTCTAAAGGGTGGAAGCTCAGAAAGCACCTAAGCACTTCTGGTTCCCTGGTGGCACTGATCAGGGGGACAGCATCACAGAGGGACAAAACATGAGGAGGGGCATCTGTGGCCCTGCCTCGGGCGGGCCTGGGTCGTCTACTACCCAGTTGCAAGATTTTAGGATATCCTTTGAAGGTCCGTTGGCCTGACCTACAAAGTTGAGGTTGTGCTGGATGTCCAGATCCTCTTCTATCTCTCTGTCCGGATTTCTTCTGATTAGTGATACCTTTACAGTCTTCCTGATTTAGGGACAGCATGGTGATGAGCATCTTCCACATGGACAAAAGGAAGAAGACAGACTGAACCACGAGGCAACAGACACACTGCTCCTTCTGGGGCCTTGCTAGGGGTGAGTAGGGCAGGCTGTGCCCGTGACCCTGCTCTCTGGGAAGACAGTCCACATGGGTCTGTCTTTTGGTTCACATTCCAGACTTCTGCTTGTTTGTTTGCTTTGGAATATCCCGGAATACCCAACTTTCCTAGAAGACTCATCTCCAAACACAAACTTCTACTCTGTCCATATTTTAAGCTGTAGCCTGAATCAGTGAAAGTGCCTTCCCCATTTCCTGTCATCCTAAAATGTGGTGCACTTTCTCTGCCTTATTATTCTAGTCTGGCCTCTTCCAGTCTCAGTCCCAAAGATGGTGGCAAAGAAAAAGGTTATATGCAAAGCCCTGTGCATGCCTACCCCTTCCCCTGAAGTCTGGGCTTTACAACAGTTTCACTCCACTCAATAGTAGCTTTCTGAGCCAATTGCTCTATTTTTTTTTTTCCCTCTTAAGTTCATTGCCTAATAATCTCTTGTTTAACCTTTTGCCAAATTCTATGCTTCTGTCAGAGGTGACTCTGAGTGTTTGAGCAGGTAACTTCTACCTTTGCACGTCTATTGCGACAGGTCCAAAGGTTCCAGAGGAGCTGGCACGGCACTCTCAGGACGGGATTCAGTGGCTTCCAGTGTGCCTAGTCCAGAGTGGAGCGTGGAAAGGCAGAGGCAGCTGGATGTGGTGCTGAACCAACAAGCTAGCTGCAAGAGGAACCATCCCTCCACCCAGCCTCGGTAACTGTCCTCACAAGGTGAGCTGCCTTCCCTGTCTATGACACATGGGAGTAAAGTAGTCTGGGGAAAGGTGGGTTGTGGATGTACATTCATCCTCAGCCTGCATAGAGTTCTTTCATAACATGAGCGGTAATCTCACCTGACTTGTGTAGGAGGCAAAGAAAGAGATCGATTGGAAAGGGAAACATTTAAGCCACTTTAATTCTAGAAGAGAGGGAGAAAAGGATTGGAATAAAATACCAATCTCACCTTTTAAAAGGCACAAAGCTTTTAAAAGGTTAATGGCTGAGTTAGGATGTAAATTTCCTTCATCTTCCATTCAGAAATTCTTAGAGGTGCTACTTAACAATTGCAGATGACAGAGACTCTTATTGGAAGGGATGGGGAAAAAAGGACTTCTCAGCAGGGATGCTGTTAGGGGCTGGCAAGCATCCCAAGGACAGGATATGTTGGCTGGTGTGGGGGGCGGGAGGGACAGCTCCTGTAAGGGATGCAGCACTGGCCTCATTTTGGATGCATCTCTGAGTTGTTGAGCCGTTTGACCTGGCTTTAGATAGTACTTGGTGGTCAGTCTCTCTATGATCTGCCCCACCCTACAACAATCTTGAGTGATGTCAGAATGGTCCCATGAAAATGTTTGGAGTGTCACTACTGCCTGTGGAGACTGCATAGAAAGACAATCCAGTGAGATTTTAGAATGGCCCAGACCTTGCTGAACTTGGCATTCAATTCCAAGGGAGACTAACAGTATTAGTTGGTGTCCTCTGAACCTGCAATGGCTGAGACGGACCTTAGACAGAAGTCAGAGATTCCAGGCACCGAGGCTTGGCATCTTCCTGCCATCTAATTGTCTCCTCTGAAGAAAATTATTTCTGGGGAAGCTGAGCCCTGAGACTAAACAAAAGCCAGAGGCACCTCCTTCTATCCTTCCGGAGGGGACAAACCTGCTGTTCTCCGAGATACAGGAGGGGGTGCTCTCTGCCGAGAGTAGGAACCCTAAAGCAGCAGCTAGCACTCTAGCGAGGAGCCAGGCTCACCTTGAACTTCCTGCTGAGGGATGGAGGCTGGGAAAGTGCTGTGTAATTCTGCCTGCCTGTGAGGTTGCTGCCGGGGTGGGGGTGAGGGGCAGAACCTGTCCTCTCTCTCCAAATCCTAAAATGGGGTCTTGTGCTCCTGGGAGACCAGAGTCTTAAAGGGTGATCAAACGAGGCAGCCGTGAACCCGGGAAGTGCGGAGGTGTGAGAGGGGTCACCGAACACAATCTTACATTAAGCCTGGCTGAGCCAGAGGCCGCTCTGGTGTGTCAGAGGAAAAAGGAACCACGTCAATTTAATGGCTCGCTGCTCCAGGGGTTGCTGGCTCATTTTGTTTATTCTGTTGTCTCTGAGGTCCGCATGCCAGTGTTCCTGAGCGGGGCAGCTCTGGGGAGCGGGGAGCGGGGAGAAGACAGTTGGGTTGAGGTTGACCCAAGCGCGGCAGTCCCTCTAGCTGGACTTTCCTGTCCTGCGAACGCAGCGGGGAACAACGTCACCTCCGTCTCTCTGGCAGTGAACCCAGGGCCACCTCAAGTCGGTTTCATTTGGATTTTTGTCTTGGGGGAGAGCTGGTGGGGCGAGCGGGAGCAGGTGGACTCGTGGATTGCAAGGTGGCTTTTGTTTCAGCCCTTAGGGGCTGGGGCTAAAGGCTTTGAAAACCAGCCGGGGTAGCTTTGGCTGCCTGTCTCCTCCTGGTCTGGTCAGAAGCGCTTCCACTTTCAGTTGTGAAAGAGGAAAAAAAAAAAAAAAAAAAAAAAGCCAACCAGGAAGTGAAGTCCCCAGCAGCAGCATGTCAGAAAGCCGGGCTATGGCCTGGCCGGGGCAGCTCAGGGCAGGGCACAAGAGGGGACACTAGCCAGGCTGCCTGCCTGTCTGCATGGACGCTCTGAAGCCGCCCTGCCCCTGGAGAAGCCCGGGGTGAGCAAGGAGGGATAGGGGCTCCCCGGCCAGCAAGAAGCCGGAGCCAGGAAGCCCCGCTCAGAAGCTGCCAGCCATTCGGCCCTTCACAGGGTAAGGGATCTGCAGCGGGGCTGTGATCCAAGGACGGGTTCCCGGGCGTGTGACCGAGGCTTCCCGACCCCCTCCTCCCTGCCCAGCTTCAGGAAGCTGCTGCTAATCCAACGCTCGCTCGCCGAGCCCCACGTGTGCGCCATGCTCTTTCGGTCCCGGGGATGGGGGTGGGGGCTCCCAGGGCTACCTGTGCGCCCCGCGTGTGGAGAGGTGGGGGGCGGGGGTGGGGGATGGAGGAAGGGACAATGGGAGGGGACTTTCTCCGTCTCTTTTCCGGAGGTGGATTACAGAGACCGGGTTTTTTTTTTTTTTTTTTTTTTCTTCTATTGCGGGCCTGAGCACGTGGCATAGCTCCCTGGGGTGGGCTGGGGTGGGGGAGGTTGGCCTTGATTTTTCACTGGACTTTGCCCCCCGTCCCCGTCCCCCCCTATCTGAGGGTAGGAGACTAAGATGGAGAAACAGAAAGAATGGCTTTCAAATGAAGTTAGGTCTCTTTTCAGGGCTGTGAGTACAGGTTAGATCCAGGATGCTGTTGAAAGGCTTTGCGGGAGTGAGTATTGAGAAGGGGCTCCGTGGCTGGGTATCACACCCCTCCCTCCTTGACAGTCTAGTCTGAATGGCAGGATTGAATCTAAACTTCCTGCTTAAAGGTGACTAACAGGCAGGGCTGAAGTAAAATAGTAAAAGCATTAGTCAGGTTTAAAAACTGGAGATGGAAGCCATAGATTCTGATCCTGCCTCTGTATCCGTGTGGCAGATGTTTCAGGTAATTTTAGAATGCACCTTGGAAGAAATAAAGGCAGTATAAAGGCTTGTGAGCATTGTGCCTGTCTCTACCAGCGAAAGGCACAAAAGCCTAAATAAATAGCTCTGAATGCAAGCAGTCAGGCGCTTTGAGAAATGCAGGTAACACAGGCAGGTGAAGTAGTTGGTCTATAACAGGATATTGGTGATGGGAACGCTAGGAAAATGTGCAGCACATATAACCCAGAGAAGCACATTCAATTTAATTTTCAAAAGAATACTGTCTACACCAAACAAAGTTTCAGCCAAGCATTCTGACTTAAGGCCATGTTATAATTTTGTTTTGGTTTGTTTTTTGAACCAAACTTTCGTTGTAGTCCAGACTGAGCTGGAACTTCTTACTTAGATGAGACTGGCTGAGCAAGTGCTGGGATTAAAGGTGTGTGTGCCACCACGCCGAGCTATAAGAGTTCTTTAGGGCAAGGACACACGCCACAGTTTCAGTGTGCCTCTGTGCCCCTCAGTGCTACAGCACAATGAGGCTGCAGGTTGGAGGAAGGTGGACAGTACAGAAGAACAGAGAACTAAGCTGAGTACCAACACACAGCAGAGATGGCATTTGGTCGAGGCAATGTTTTGAGGTGGATGGTTTCGCTATTTTTGGTTAAGAGAGGTGGAGCTACTTCCCCAAGGTCACACATGGAGCAAGCAGGCTGTCAATTGTATTGGAATTGTAGGCTGTCTGTTGCTTTCAAAAATAAAATACTTGTAATTTTATCCTAAAAACTTGCTCTTCATTCACTTGTAGGATTAGCCTTCCTTTGAACAGCCTACAATTTTAGCTTGAAAAAAGATTTTCATGTGTGACACCCTGGATACCAGGTATTAGGTTTATATGGTCATCTCCTATTTGATAATTTTCTGGAACCATGAACATTACTGCTGCCGTCATTGGGGGAAGGGCTCTGTGCTTAGAGTCCTATGGGTCCTATCTTTTGATTCTCAGCGGACCCTATGGAGTAGGGCTAAAAGTGTGACCTAGAAAGACACTCAACACATCATAGATGGTTGGCCCTGGAGTGTGAACGTGCACTCATTTAGTTCCAAGGATGATCTGTTCTCTAACACTGCTGAGTCTGACTTAATGCATAGGTCAAAGAATAAGAAACTGGGAGATAGTTAATCTTTAGAAATCCTGCCATCTCAAATGCATAGAGATAGAATCTAGACAGACTAGTTGTCGGGGCTGGGGACAGGGGGAGTGCTTTTGGGATGATGAAAATATTTTGGGATTAAGTAAAAGTATTCGGTGGCATAGCATTATGAATGTGTTAGAGGGTCCATTTAAAAAAGTATATATATATCTTGCTGAGTCTCATACTCCTGCCTAACAGATGCACTGATTCTTGGCTGGGAGCAGCCAGAGGTGACTTCTGAGTCTGGCAGCACTCTGTGGTGTGGTCCAAGCAGTGACCTCAGCCTTCACAGCTGACACCACATTCCATGTTCTGTCATGATGTTAGGCACAGTCTCTCCATTGCCCTTCCCACTGGCACAGGGCCGGATTCTTCCTGGCTTCCCCATTCCTGGTATGTGAATAATACATGAGTTCATAGGGTTTGGAAGGTCAGACAGTCCACGAACGGCCATTACAGATCTCTCGGTCTTCCTGGGTCATTCTATTCTAAGGCTGTGGGGTTGTGAGTGGCTTGTGGGAGGATGTGAGGAAGGGCGTGGGGCTCGGTCCCAGATAGCCCTGTCTCCTCCAATTAGAAGTGCTGTCTTTAAACAAGACACAAGGACTTGTTAAGACATTTGTCTGGAAGAGGAACCAAGATGATTGTATCTTTTGGGACATCTCATAACAGGTCATGTCATAGGAGTAAGGATGTGAAAACGGAGGTAAATGGAAGAGAGAAAAGAGAAACCCTTTGTGTTGGTGTGTGCGTGCAGGAACACATGTGTGCAGGTGTAACAGGGATTAATGAAAGACCCACAGACTGATACTGGGGTTCAAACTTCCAGCTGAGCATCATTAAAGCAAAGCAGCTGGCCACCAGCTTAACTCTACCTCAGGCTGAACAGGCTGGTCCTGTCTCCACGAGCTCTCACCAACCTCTCAGTGTGGCTGGAGAATGAATGTCTCATACAGACTACTTGCTCCTGTCTTTTATATCCCTCTAGTACTGGGATTAAAGGTGTGAGCTATAATTCACTTTTAGACTGAT